AGCCATGTAGCCCCAAATGTCTATGCTACTGAGGATGAAAAATCCAGATTTAACTCAATACATCTAGAACATTTCATTTCAACATGTAATCAAATGTAGAAAACTCATTAATTTGATATTTTACATTTTTAAAAATTCTAAGTTTTAGAGTCTGGTGTGTATTTTACACTTACATCTCAATTCAGGACAGCCATGTTCCAACTGCTCGATTGCCACACGTGACTAGCAGCTACCGGACAGGCATGGGGGTGGGTAGTCAGAGTCTAGGAAGCTCTGAATGACCCCAGTTTCCTGGGCATAGCAAATATATGGTGAAAGGCAAAGTCCTGGCACCTTTGTGAGATGGACTTGATAAGGAATTGGGATAAAAGGTTTGCATGGGGTCTCTCTGATCATTAAACTAGGTAAGAATGCAAACACATTCAAAACAATGGCTATCCAGCCTCTTGCATTATTTCCCTGCAAAAACATCATCAAGATGTTGTAATTTCTTATTCCCTTAGGCAAAGGTCAGCATACCCTGTTTGGAAGATTACAAATGTGATAGCTTCAATGCAGCTCTGAGGATTTAGATATTGATCACTGAGGCTTTCATACAGTCAAAACAAACAACCAAGCAGCACACTTTGCCTCTTCCAAAATACCCTATAGTTATTCCCTTTTGCAAAATGAGAAATGAAAGGGTTTCAGGTTAAAAAGGTGATCATGTAGTAATCAGAGCTTTAGAACCATCCAAACCGACCTTAGTATAACATGCTGTACTTGGTAATCCCCGATTTGAAGGCTTCGCAGTATCTCATTAGTCTGGAGTTGCAGTACAGATAACTCTGTATTGAGTGAGTAATTAAATGTGACACAGAAGCAGGGGAATGGATTAGTGACACATCCAGAGGTTCCTCTGAGGGGGCCTTTCCTGCCTCAGCCTGTGAGGGAAGGTGTAGAGAGGCTTAGCAGAACTCCTGCAAGGAAGATCCTGGTGCAAAGGCAGAATGAGATTTCTCGTGTTATCTGCAGACCAGGGCAACGTGCCAGTCAGTGTGGGGACAGGACCTTTTGGAAGCAAGGCCTCGTCTCTGAAGCGACAGGGTCACTTCTGTGGTGCTGCTGGTCTTTTCTGGGCGAATTCTGGGAATCCATCCTCAGCTTTTCTGAGCAAGTTGTTCATTCTGTCTTTAGTAGGACAAGGGCCTGCCGTGTTTACTTGAAGTCAGAGTGAAGAATGCTTCCCATTCTTCCAGGACCCTCAAAATCAAAGCTTACCCGACACAGGCAGGCTTTGTCTAAAATGAATAAAGACAAAAAGAGCACTTTTTCATTTTTTACAGTGTCAACATGCTGCTTAATTTTGTAGAATTGAAGGTTTGGAGAGAGACTCATGTAGTTTCCTTTTCCTCTTCCAGAAAAGCTGTCATTCAACTTTCTCACACACCTGAAAATCCACCCTAATTTTTCAAAGTCCACTAGCGAAGGAGGTTTAAAAAATCTTTTTGGAAACATTCAGGTTCTCTTCAGCCCTCAATGAACATATATAGAGCACTGGCTCTGAGCAAGAAATTATTTAGGAACCAAGAAATTAAAAGAAAGAGAAGACAGCTTCTCTTTTGAAGGAGCTCATGAGAGAGACATCAAAAAGCAGGGGGTAACAAGTGCCAAAGGAATGGCACAGCCATGAAGGCCTGTAGGAGTTGAGAAGAGGAAACTGATGTGGGGCTGGGTGAGGTGAAATTCCAACCCCATTGGTCTTCTGGGGTTGGATGCAAGAGAAGAGCCTGGTGTGAGGAAATGCCATCTCATGCTCTCCCATCCACTGTCCCCCTTTTAAAATCCAGTCCCTGCAATGTGACATCAGCAATGCAAGGCAGCACAGGTGTAAGACAAATTAGACTCGGTCCCAGCCTCTAGGAACTCACAATGGACTAATGCAGATTTTCAGATCTTCCATAGACACGTGACTCTTACTCATTTAACAAATCTTTACTGGTTTGTTCTGTGCCTGGTCCTGTTCTTGATGCTGAGGATACAGTGGGAAACAAGACTGATTTAAGTCCTGCTTTATAAAGTTCATGGTGGAGAGGGGTGGGAAACAACAAACACATAATTACAAGTGTGATAGGAATTATAAAAAGGGGGTAATAGGTGCTATGGGAGTATATATCAGGTATTCATCTGCTCTAGGAGAGAAGGCTTCCCTTGGGAAGTGTTGTTTAAGTTGTAATAGGAAAGAACAAATATGACTCCATGTTGGATGTTGCTTTTAGTTTAACCTTTGTGTTCTATTGCTGGGCTTCCCGGGTGGCACTTGTGTTAAAGAACACACCTGCCAATGCAAGAGACATAAGAGATGAGTGTTCGATTTCTAGGTTGGGAAGATCCCCTGAAGGAGGGCATGGCAACCCACGCCAGTATTCTTGCCTGGAGAATTTCATGGTCAGAGGAGACTGGTGGGCTACAGTCCATAGGATTGCAAAGAGTCAGACATGACTGAAGTGACTTAGCACACACATATACCTTCTATCGCTCTAAGTTAAGAATGTTGCCTGTAGCTTAAAATATACAAGATAGCCCATTCTCAAGGCTCTGATCTTTAAAGGGATAATGCTTTTCCATTCTTATAGAGGTAAAAAGTTGCAGAATGGGGAATGGCATTTGTCTTGTAGGAAGTTAACAGGGACATCATGAAAAGATCTACATGAACAGCAGCAAGAAAAAAGGATTCTGACACTAAGAAGTTTACAATAACCAACTACATCCCCTCCTGTTTTAGTATAAAAGAAGCCTGTATTCTAACTTGGGGAAGATGGTTCTTTGGGACACTAGTCCGCTATCTTTCTATTTGCTGACTTTTCAAATAAAGTCACTATTCCTTGCCTCATCAACTCGTCTTTTGATTTATGGACCTGTCGTGCAGTGAGCGGTATGAGCTTGGACTCTGTAACAAAGCCAACAGATGAGTGAAGAATTGAGTAAATAGGTGAAGGAGGAGAGAGGAGCAAGGGGAGAAGAATGTGCCTGTCCAAAATATCCAAAGTGGAGAGAGTGAAGAACTGAAAAGCGTCCAAGATGGGGGCAGCAAGGATGGAGATGAAGCCCAAGAGTTAGGGCAGGCCCATCCTGGGCTGGAACATGACCACATGTGCTCTGGGCACAATGGCCAAAACAAATCAAAGCTAAAACAAACATCCTGTTTTGTCTCCCAATGACATGCATGCAGGGGAGACTGCCAAGTCACACAGTTTCAGAAAACTGGTGAAGATCCTTTGCATCTTGTCTAGGAGAGTCTCTGCCCAGGCTCCTTCACTTGCCTCTGGACTCAGGACTCATGGACACCCTCCACTTCCAAGCTCCACTCCATCAGTCCCTGGGTTTCTTGTGACTCTGGAGGAATTGATCTGAGACTGAATTCTCAAGTATCTGGCACCTGGTCCACTCAATGAGTGTGTATTTCTGCTGTGCCAGGAGGGGTACCTGGTATTTGGTTCTTTCTTCTGCTGAGCTAAGCCCCCAGCCCTGAGGAGGCTCCAAGCAGCAGTCTCTACATGCCACTGAGTTAGTTCATCATTGGGCTCCTGCCTCAGTTTCCCTGTTTAATACTTCCAGGTACCTGTTGAGGCTGGAAGTTTGCTCAGAAACTCTAGTCCCCAATGTTTACTGAGTACCTGAGACAGTGATGGAGTGCTGGGGGTGGTGTTAAAACAAAACAAAACAATACACCAGAAGAACTGGCCCATGATCACATACATTCAAGTGTCGGTAATAATTTCATGTGTTGAATTATCATTAGTATTTTGAAAATGTGAAAATCATCTTTTTCATTACTTCAAAGGAGAAGATGATTCTTATTATAAATATGACACTTAAGTAATTTCATCGTTTTTTAAAAATTTTGATCTTGTAGGTGCCAACAATTGCTTCTTTCTTTTTTCAGTTGACAGATAGCAGTTTTAATATTCATTACATTTTTATGTCACAAAATCCGCATGAGGTAAAAACTGGCACTGGTTCCAGGGATGGAACTGAGTCCAAAGTTGTTAATTTGACACTGAAAGCATCTTGCCATTCAGCTCCAGCCTCCTGCCACTGCTCCTTTCCATGTTCTCCACCCTTAGGCTCTCTCCTCTATGTTTGCGCTCAAACTGTCCCCTCTGCCTGGAATGTCCGTCCCCTTTGTCTTCACATGCCACCATCCTTGTCCATGAAGACCTCTTCCCTTCCATTTCCACTGGCTTTCCTGTTTCCTCCCCCAGCTCTGAATTCTTCCTCTACCCCTGGTTCCTCATTTTCCATCTTCTTTATTGTCTTTCACTTGGACCCCTGTTCAGACTTGGTTTCATACGAAATCAGCTGTGTATAGCTAACACCGATTTTTGAGGTCTAGCCGAGAAAGCTAATGACAAAATGTCTTCCTGATTGTATAATACTGTTAAGCCAGTTTCTTTTTAAATTGAGGGAATATGGAAAGTATGAAGATCACAGGGCTTCCCAGGTGGCGCTAGTGGTAAAGAACCCACCTGCCAATGCAGGAGACATGAGATGAGGGTTTGATCCCTGGGTCAGGAAGAACCCTTGTAGAAGGGCATGGCAACCTACTCCAGTGTTCTTGCCTGAGAACCCTGTGGACAGAGGAGCCTGGACGGCTACAGTCCATAGGGTCACGGATAGTCGGACACGACTGAAGCAACTTAGCATGCACTCATGAATGAAGATCACAAGGGTTTCCATCAACAGTGGAGGGGTAGTCAAGAGTGCAGACAAGTTACTTCTTCTCTCTGAGCCTTAGTTTTCTCCTCTGTGATATGGAAATGACAAACCTTGTCTCATTGGCTTACTCTATCAGTTGACTCTTATATGTAAAACGCTCAGGAGAGTTTCCGGTAAGCAATAAGCACTCCATACTTGGTAACTATTGTTATTAGAATAACCATGGTAACATTTTCAAGCTCTTATTTATACTGTTATTTCTATTAAAAGTACTTAGCAAATTCCAACCAACAATCTTTCAGGCAAAATTCAGATCCATTCCGTTTTCAAGCTGTGGGCTGCTGCTTCTCTCGGGGCAGAGAAGTGACCTGCTTTCCATCCCAGAAGCATTCACAGATGTCACCAGGAAGTGGAACAAATGTACTTGACTCTCTTGTCTGGGCCTTCAGATCGTGTGCAGCAGCTGAACAGTCACTTCGGGGTGAAACCAACAGAAGGTGAGGCTTCAGTCACTTGACTCAGTAACAGGTGCTGTTTATAGCACTCAGGCTCTTTCCTGGAATCATTTCATGTTTGTGACACGCACCATGTGTTAAGAGTGCACACGTTCCTCGTTTGGTCATAACACGACAACCAATGGTTGGCATAGCCTTTGGTTTAGACAACCAGACGGAACCCCCTGGGTTGAGGGTAAACTCCTTATCTCACCCAACCTCCCTCCTTATACCACGAAGGCTGTCAGGATGACTGCTCTCATCCTGTTAGAAAGAATGACCATAATCGCTAACGAGTAGTTATGGGCAACGTTCCAGTTTAAAGACTTTCATGGGCCTTGAAAACTAGCAAGTAAATAATCGTTTATCAGCCAGTCACATAGACGATGCCACATGGAATGACATTTCAGCACTTCAAAACACACAGAAGCCATATATCGTAATGCGACATAAAAGTTACGTGCGGACTGGCTGTAAAACTGAACAACTGTTTACCTCAGTGGAGGTTTTATTTACATGCCCTCCAGCAGACACTTAAATGTGCTTCATATGAGGCTGAGGATCACAGCTTCCAGCAGAGCCTGGGTTAAGCAGAGATGCTTTGGATACACACACCGATCGCAGTGTGATTTCAGAGGCTCCGACAAAGGCCTCTCTAACTCCCTCCAAAACTCACTTTGTCTGCTTGATGCTTAAAAAAATCTCTTGGAATCAAAGCTTTATAATCACAGAAAATTTAATTTGACAAGTTTAATATTGGATTCAATATGAAATACCATGGAATACACAAATAGCCAACATTTATAGCACTCTGTTCTTTATTGAGCACTTCCACATGTGGAACCTTCTTTATGCTCCAACACTCCAGTAGGTTGAATCATTGCCCCCAGTTATGAGGAGGGACCTGTAACTTAGAGAAGTTCAATGATTTGTCCAAGGACACATGCGAGTCCCGTCAGGGCTGGGACTTGAATCTGGTGTTTCTGAAGTTGTCTCCTTAATGCACTTTCCACAAGAGCAGGTGCTCATATGAAATGCCCTACAGAGGAAGTCCTTGACTTAAATTTCCACAACCCTGAGAGCCAGTTTTTAAAGGTGGAGATGCAGATGAGAGAGTTGGGTCAGAGGTCTTCCTGGGCCCTGCTCAGCTGGGGCAGGCCTGGAGGTTCCCTCCTCTGTGATGTCCCCTGCCCGCTGGCCCTGCCCAAGCTGGTGGGTGAGTGTACACACACTTCCTTTAGGCTCCGCCGAGTTGATTCCATTCTGCACTTGCATTCCCTGCTGGGATTGGAGCTCTGTTCTGATTCCTAGTCTCCTTGGCCAGAGTCCTGGAAGCTTGCTGCCTCCTTGCTGATTCTCTGTCCCTCTGCTCCCAGCCTCAGCTGAGGTTTTGTTCTTCTGCACAGACTTGTCAGCACTGGCTGCTGATTGTAGTTTTCTCTGATTATTGTAGGAACTGCCAGTTGTTTATCATTCCTTTGTTCATTGAACACATTTTTATAGAGCACCCAGGACAGACAAGATACAGTTCAGAGTCAATTCTTCTCAGTTCTCAAGGTAACCCTAATGAAGCAGGAACTTGCCACATACCTTTAGAGACTGTGTGTGTGTTAAGTTGCCTCAGTCATGTCTGACTCCCTGCGACCCCCATGGACTGTAGTCTGCCAGGCTCCTCTGTCCATGGGATTCTCCAGGCAAGAACACTGGAGTGGGTTGCCAGGCCCTCCTCCAGACCTTTAGAGACTAATGTAAGTGCTATTGTTGACTAGCTCATCAGATGCCTTAAAGCTGGGTCTTTTCCCTCTAAATCTCTGATCATCTACTGTCAGCCATGAGAACTGATGGCTTAGTCGGGGCACTGAAGGGGCAGGAGGTGAGTCTGGATCGTGGTTGGGGTAGGACATGGGAAATGGGTTCCAGGAGGCCTTTAAGACACCATGGGAATTTAAAAAAATTTTTTATCAGAGTACAGTTGCTTTAACCCACTATTGTATTCTCGCCTGGGAAATCCCATGGACAGAGGAGCCTGGCAGGCTACAGTCCATGGGGTTGCAAAGAGTCAGACATGACTGACTGAGCACGGCACAGCACACATAGTTGCTTGAAAATGTTAGCTTTTGCTGTACAATGAAGTGAATCAGCCGTATGTATACATATATCCCCTCTCTCTTGGGCCTCCCTCCCATTTGCCCTCCCACCCCCCATCCCTTTAGATCATCACAGAACAGTGAGCTGGGCTTCCTGTGCTAAATAGCAAGACAGGCAGCATAGGAATTTCCTAGCATCAACAAGGTCTGGCTGGCCCTGGCTCCAGGTGAGTCTGTGAGTGTTCTGCTGAGTGACAGCCGATGAGCCACAGAGGAAGTGGGATGATTTATAGAAAAGGGAGGCAAGGAACGACCTTCAGCATCTTTGTTTAATAACATTACCTTCATAAGCTGCAATCCTTTAGTTTCACAGATACCAGTGGCAAGACTTGAATGAATTTTATCTGAATTTCTGCTTTATTTATTTCCCTGCTAGCTTCATTTCTAAAATCACCTTTGCGAATGACAACTCAATCAATTCAATAACATGCAGTTTTACACAGTAGGAACCCATTCCCATACCCCCCTTCATATTTAAAATTGTCGGCTGCTTCCTTGAATAGCCTATGTGTGTTTCAAAGCCAAGTTATTTTCATCTCCAGACCCCTGAGGTGGAATGACACTGTGAGATGGACAGAGTCCTGACTTGAGGTTGAAGATGCTTCCCTCTTCCCTTTCTTTTTTCACATGCATGTCTCGTTCATCACAGCCTGAGCTGCCAGCTCACGTTCAATTTCCCATCAGTTCAGTTGTGTTAAGGAATCATCGGCTTGATGGGCTTCATTTTAGAAGCTTTCTGAGATGCTTGGCTTTTTCTTACTTTGTTTTCCATGCTTTTTGGAATCTTGCCAGAGTAAATGAAGGTAAAATGAACATGTATATTTTGGCTTTGTTTTCCAGGGCCGGGTAAAGTGATGGACAGGATTATATTACTAGAGGAATTAAGGAGGAGATGGGCTGCACACATTGGTTAATCCACAGAGTCTGTGAGTAATGAACTGGGAAAAAAAGCTGCTGATTGAAAATTTGAATCATTAAAAGCTTTGAAATCAACAGCTTCTCTTAGAATTTCAATCTTCTGTGATTTGCTTAGAGTCAGTGCGGCAGTGGTCTGAGCCATAGGCCACATTGTCCATCACCGTGAGCAGGGTTTGCTCAGGGCCTCTGTTGTTTCAGAGATTAAACACTTAAAAAAGCTACAGTAACTCTTCTAGGGCACTGGCATGGCCATCATGGTATAGTACTCCCTGGACTTTCATTGATTTAGAATTTACATTTTCCATTATTTGTAAATGACCCTCCAGGTTCAAAATATATTGTACTTTGTATTCTCATTGAAGCATGAATCAGAATTTCACTTGCTGGCTGGGATGCTGGGGTGCAGTGGTGGATTGCATGGCTGGCCTAATGCTTTGCCCCTCGCTGCTCAAGGAAAAAATGTTTTTCACTTTTTGTATATACATATCATGGGGGAAATGATGTGATATAGTGGTTCTTTGTGAATTGAGGGGATTCGTAGGGATATTGGAAAGAATTACTCATGAGTGTCAGGCTGTACTGTCAGTATGTCTTATTGTAATGAGATCAAGTACAGCAATGCTTTTCTCATCTGTGGATGACTTATCTGGACATTAAGAAATAACTTATTTTGTAATCAGCCTGTAAAGAAAAGGGCTGCTGAGAAGACAATATAGATGTTCCCACATCCATCCACACTAAAACTCATGCTCTTAGCTCAAAGGTGATCTCCTCAAGCCCTCATCCAGAACTGCCCTCTGCCCTTTTTGATTTAGATTTGTCTTCAGGTGCAAAGAGTTGAACACAAGAAGCTCATGGCATCTGTGTCTTCTTTATGGCTCACATGGGCTAGTTTATTTCAGTATTTTCCATCTTCATACCTACGCCTGTTATCTCCTTCATAGCTAGTAAACGTGCCACATGCATACTCATATGTTTAGAGTATGTTATGAAATGTATGACATTTAGATTTATATAATAGTATTTCAGTATATATATTTTTTATTATATATATATATTTTTCTTTCTACTGTTTTATTTACAGCATAATTTTTCAGGATTTATCCATGTTGGTGAATGTGCACGTGGTTAATTCTTCCGCTGCATTGTCTTCTAGAGCATGTGTCCACTGTGTTTTGCTCACAGTACCAGTTATAGATGCCATTGCTGGCTCAATGCTTTGCTGCCACAGTGCTGTGAAGAGCATCCTTTTCTATGCCCGTGTATGGTCCTGGGTAAGTGTTCCTTGGGTGGTAGCACTAGAGTCGGATTATAGGTTATAATATAGGGGTAATTTTTCCAGATGACTATTCTTTTTTCTTCTATAGGAGTGAACTAGGCTTCCTGTATCTCCACACTCTCATCTGTATAAATTAGCATATTTCTGGGTATTAGTGATACAGAGCATCTCTTCATATATTTATTAGTCATTTGGATTTCTCCTTCTTGGAATTGTGTAATCATATCCTTGTCCATTTTACTATTGAGATTCCTGTCTTATCAATTTGTTGGAATTCCGTGTGTGTTTTAGACATTAATTTTTGTCAGTTTTAGCTGATGCAATTTTCTTCTGGTATCTTTTGTTGAAGGAAATTACTTTTTATATGACAACTGTTTTATTTTGGAAGAATTTGAGATTTACAGGAAAGTTGTAAAGATGCTGCAGAGTGTTCCCGTATTACCTTCTCCCTAATGTTAGTATGTTATTTATTTTAAAAATATTTATTTATTTGGCTGCCCCAGGTCTTAGTTGCAGCATTCAAGATCTTATTTGCGGCAGACAGGTTCTTTCAGTTGTGACAGCAGGTTGTATCTAGTTCTCTGACCTGGGATTGAACCCAGCATTGGGTTCCCTGCATTGGGAGCATGAAGTCTTAGTCACTGGACCACCAGGGGAGTCCCCCTAATGTTAACATAATTTTTGGCATATTTAGCAAAACCAAGAAATAACACTGGTTTAAGAACACTAACTAAATCACAGATTTTTTCAGATGTCACCATTCTTTTCTTTGATGTCCTTTTACTGTTCCAGGATCTAATCCAGGATACTGCATTGCTTTTAGTTGCCATGTCCTTAGTCTCTTTTGATCTGTGCTAGGTTCTCAATCTTTCCTTGCTTTTCATGACCTTCGATGTTTTGAAGAGTGCTGGTCAAGTATTTTGTAGACTGTCTCTCAATTTGGGTTTGACTGCCATTTTCTTATGATTAGCCTGGGGGCTTACACATTTTTTTGGAAGAAGACCACAGAAGTAAAGTACATTTCTTATCACATCACATCAAGGGGTACATAATATCAACATGACTTATTACTGGTGGTGTTAATCTTGAACACTTGGTTAAGGTGATATCAGCCACTTTTCTCTACTGTCAAGTTGAATTTTTTTCCTTTCCACACTCTGTTCTTGGAAATGAGTCAGTAAGTTCAGCCCACACTCAAGGGGAGGGGAGTCAAACTTCACCTTCTAGACAAGGAAGTAACTACATATGTTATTTACAATTCTATAAGGAAGAAGAAATGCTTAATTGTAATATAATCAAAAATTGCCAAATTTTCACCATATGGCTTGGGCTTTTGAGCTCTTGTTTCCTATCTGAAATACCACAAATATATTCTTCTATACTTTCTTTACATGCACACACCAATATAATGCTCATCTTTAATATTTAGGTCTTTAATCCATCCAGATTTTACCTTTAAAAGGTAAGGTGTGAAATAGGGTCTAAGTTAAAATTTTCTCCTTAGGTTTTTTTTTTAAACTCTCTTTCTTAAACTAATTCTTCCTCCACTGATTTATCATGTCAGTTGTCCATAATCCAAAATTCCAACTTGGAACTCTTTCTGGGCTCTATTTGGTTCCACTGGTCTGTTAGTCTGTTATTGTGCCAGTACATGATAGAGTTATACTATGGCCTTACAGAACGCCTTCATATCTGGTAGGGCAGGTATCGTGGATTGAATGGTGGCCTCCAAAAATGTATGTCCACACCCAAATCCCTAGAACCTGTGAATGTGGCTTTATTTGGGGGGAAAAGTCATTACATATGTAATTAAATTAAGGTGCTTGAGATGAAATGAGCCTGATTACCTGGATAGCTCCTAAATCCAGTAGCATGAGACAGAAGGAAAACACAGACACAGAAAGACACAGAAAAGAAGGCTGAGGTGAAGACAAAGACAGAGATTGGAGAGATACAGCCACAGGTCAAGGTATGTGAAGGACTGCCCTCCTCAGCAGAAGCCAGCAGACGCCCCATGCAGATTCCACCTTAGAGCTCCCAGAGTAAGTGTGACTCTGCCAACACCTTCATTTTGGACTTTGGCCTCCAAAACTGTGAGAGAATGTATTTCTGTTGTTTTAAGCCACCCAGGTTGTGGCACTATGTTACAGACTCCTTTGTCTATGGGATTTCCCAGGCAGGATACTGGAGTGGGTTGCCATTCCCCTCTCCTGGACTGAAGCCCTAGGAAACTATAAAATACAGTAATTAACAGTTTTAGTCCCTTGTTTTTAAAAATTCTCTTTTATTCATGGATACTTATTCTTCCATTCTCATTTTAGACAGTTTAATGAGATGTTTAAAATAATCCTACTGAAATTTGGTTTATAATTCCATTAAATTTATAAATTAATTTGGGGGAGATTTTCCATCTTTACAGGATTAAATAATCTTTTAGTTGTGGCAGCAACAATCCATTATCTATTAGCATTGGGTTTTTTTTTTCCCATTAATATGAACTTATATGACCTAAGGGTTTTAAGATTTTCTCTATAAAATTCTCATATATTTTTTGTTATTTCCAAACAACAGTTGTGCTTTTCCCTGGCAATCTTCCTGTCTCATTGCACTGGCCAAATATTGAGGGCTATATAAAGAAGCTGTGGTAATAGTGAGCGTTTTTATCTTATTCTGGTGTGAAAAGGAATGCATTTAAAATGTATTGATTACATGTGAGGTTTCCTGTGGGTGTTTTGGTAGACTTTTTTTCTTCTTTAGCAACTTAAGGAATTTTTTTCTATTCCTGATTCAAGGGGTTGGGAAAATAGACCCCACATCTTGATAGGAGCAGATGCAAAGTTATATTACAAAGGTCCTGGAAAAAGTGATTAGTGGAAAATTATGACCATTTTTGTGCTTTCACTTCCAAGGGTAAGTTACTAGCTGTATCTTGCATAGAGAATTTCTGGTTGGAAGACAGGTGGGGGAGTTAGGGACTTCTTAGTTATGAGAGAAGTATCTATGACTTAGAGGTCAGTGCTGATGAAATGAAACTTTTAATTTTAAAAGTTGAAACAGGGACAACAAAGGGGCAGAATACTGAAAAAAAAAACCACCAGTAATGTTTTATGAAGTTTTTTTTTTTTTCTTGTTTGGCCGTATGGAATGGGAGATCTTAGTTCTCCAACCAGGGATCAAACCCATGCCCCTGCAGTGAAAGTGTAGAGTCTCAACCACTGGACTGCCAGGGAAGTCCCCAAGATTGTTTTTAAAGAGTGAATTCCCAATAGGTACAACCATCACTTGATCACCAATTCATCAGCAAATATTTGTTGTCATTATAATAGACCAAGCACTGTCATAGTGACTGGAGGAGTACAAAAAATAAGACAGTTTGCCCTCAAAACACTTTCAATTTATTAGTATTAGAAAGATACTGCATTCCCTCAAAGAGGGCTGATAATACAAGATAAAATGTAAGAGACTTGAAAAGACAGGCTCAAAGAGATGGCAATAATGCATTCATCTCTTTAAAGAGATTAAAAATTTGAATATATCTTCAATAATACAATAAAAACCGGTGGAGAAGGTTCACTTTTCAAAACTAGGCCACGAAAGTATTTGAATTCCAAAAGCAAGAGATGTTTATATTAAAATTTCTTCACAAATGACACCCTAAAGTAAATTTCCTAGAGGTTTGAAAGAATTAGTGTAACTCTGAAAATAGCTTCCCATGGTCTGACTCTGTGAATTAAATGTAGGAGACATGAACAGGTTTCCATATCTGTATTGGAGTCTCTCCACTTACAAACCACTAATAACAAAACTAACTTGAAGCATGTGTTGACATGAGAATTAGCTAGTAGAAACCACTGTGGAAATCTTAAGTTGCTGTGGAACTAGGTCAATAATGGACTTTGGCTTGCCTCCAGTTGCTTCTGAAAGGGAGAAGGAGTTCGATGACAGTCGAGTGACCATTTAGGCAGGATGCTATTCAGGCAGCTTGGCTGGCAGGATGCCTGGTGATAAACAGAAGAAGAAAATTTACAGAAGACAAAAGCAGGAGCAGCAAAAGAGATCAGATGCCCTGCTTCTCATCCCGGGGACTGCAGGCATTCTGAACAGGACACGTCTTTGTTGTACAGGACCGCTGTGCTGAGGGAGTTTGGTACCTCCTCTGGTTGAACATCAGGGAGGTTTCCCCAGTCACTCAGTGGTAAAGAATCCGCCTGCTATTGCGGGAGACACGAGAGACACAGATTCGATCCGTGGGTCAGGAAGATCTCCTGGAGAAGGAAGTGGCAACTCATTCCAGTATTTTTGCTGGGAAATCCCATGGACAGAGGAGCCTGGTGAGCTACACAGTCTATGGGGTTGCAAAAAGCTGGACATGCTTGAGCGACTGAACACACACACTCTCTGTTTGAGCATCACTGAGACAGATCTAGGAGCCCTTAGAAAACAATGTTGCTGGGGGTTTAGAGGGAGCAGAGTCTAAAGATGCAGTTAATGGAGAAACTGAAAGATTTGAGTGGCAGCTGTAGTATTTGAGGGGATTTCAGTCAAGTTAATCCATTTTGCCTGAACTGAATCCATTTTGCGCAGGGCTTCCACACTATTCTCTTTTTCTTTTGGCCATACCATATGGTTTGTAGGATTTTAGCACCCCAGCCAAAGATTAAACCTGGGGTTACAGCAGTGAAAGGCCTGAATCTTAACCACTAGGCCACCAGGGAACTCTCCCAGCCTATTTTTAAAAATTTGCTTTCATCACATCATGACTCTGTTCTAAAGCCTGTGGTGACTTCCCATGGCTTACAAATGTAGAACGTATTCCCAGGCTTGACATTTGCCTTCTTTCCAAAACTCATCTTCAACATCCATCTTCCATTATCTTAAGTGGACTTTTCCCGTTTTAGTTAACAGAGCCCAACAACAGAATTTTGAATGGTCCAGAATGATCAAGATGGGAAGTAAATTAATTTTGGTCTCTTGTGTTTCCAGTGGGGTCAATACCAATACTTTGTCTCTGTTGCTCTGAAGTTGCTATTTGTTAACAATAGCATTCTCATGTTGCAGGAGTTACTTTTCCCTTTGCAGTTTCCTAATTTAAAATCAGCTCTCCAGTGTTGTTCTGATCATAGTCCTTCTATCTTGACCACAGACATTTGTCCTATACCCAAGTCTTTGCTTCTGTGTGTTTCCCTCTCTTTCCTCTGTTCTTCTTTATATGGACTGTCATTTCCAGGAGCCTGAACTTCAGTAGTAGATGCTTCAGTTAGATTCAAGGTCTATTGCTAGCACACACTCCTCCCCACCAACCAATTATTTGAGGTTTCATGGTCAGTAATTGTTTTCTTTGTGACCTAGTTGGTGTGATAAAACTTTTATTTAGCATTGTCTTAAAATTAAGTTATCTGTAATGTTGCATAGAAAACCTGTTGTATAAATCCAAATACTCTAGGATTTCTCGTGCATAAATCAAAACCTGATGTTTTATTTATGATAGAAATCTGGGACTCATTCATCTCTGTCTCGTCTCCCTTTTTTCCTAAGCAGTTCCTAGTTTGATGACCTAGCCTCTTAAATAGTTCTGAAATTAAATAGAAACTCTCTCAATTCTCCTGACAGGTCTTTAGTTCAGGTTCTTACCATCTCTCACTTGGATTATTATAAATAATCACTAAATGTTGTCTGCTTCTAGATACTTCTCCCCTGCTCCACCTACCCTCTCACTTCTACCTAAATTCAACTTTTACCATGTTACTACTCTGCTAGACTCTTTCAATGTTTCCTCTTTTGTTCCAGGATAATATTCAAAAGACTTTAGCCCTTTCATGGTCCAGTACCTGCTCATCTTCGATCTCATTTCCTACCTCCTCCTCACCCTGTGTGTGTGTTCAGTCACGCCCTACTGTTTGTGACCCCGCAGACTAACCTGCCAGGCTTCTCTGTCTGTGAAATTTTCTAGGCAAGAGTACTGGAGTGGTTGCCACTTCCTGCTCCAGAGACTCTTCACGACCCAGGGATCGAACCCAGATCTGCGTCTCCTGCATTGGTAGGTGGATTCTTCACCACCCTGCTCCCTGGGAAGCGCTCTGTGCCCCCCAGTGGTGCCAAATGACCATAGTTAAAAAAATTGCACTGTATTTTTTATGCTGATATGCCTTTTGGGGGCATTTATTTTATCAAATCAGTTATTTGGCATGAATCCCCAAAGAGATTCTCCCTGCCTCGGTAAGGTAAGAGAGAAATAGATTATCATATCCGTGCATCTTTTCTTTTGGTGGAGGTAAGAAGGACTCTGTCATTTTTTATTATTCTCTTTATTATTTCTAACTTAGTTTTATGTGAGTTTTCATACTATTTAAAGAAGTGAAATTCACCCTCTTTTTTCCAGTCTCTCCCTAGAAATTCATAGTTGCTTATTTTTCCACTAGGTATTACTTCAATTATAGGAATTATGCACTAATAACCTTCCTTAGCTTTGGCACTTTTTCTAGCCTGACATTTTTAAAAAGTAGTTTTTACTGGAGTATAGTTTCTTTACAATGTTGTGTTACTTTCTTCTGTACAGCAAACAGAGTTGGCTGTAAGTATACATATGTTCCCTCTTTTTTGGATTTTCTTCCCATTTAGATCATCACAGTTCCCTGAGCTATGCAGTGAAGTGAAGTGAAAGTTGCTCAGTCACGTCTGACTCTTTGTGACCCCGTGGACTATACAGTCCATGGAGTTCTCCAGCCCAGAATACTGGAGTGGGTAGCCTTTCCCTTCTCCAGGGGATCTTCCCAACCCAGGGGTTGAACCCAGGTCTTCTGCATTGCAGGCGGATTCTTTACCAGCTGAGCCACAAGGGAAACCCAAGAATACTGGAGTGGGTAGCCTATCCCTTCTCCAGGGGATCTTCCTGACCCAGGAATTGAACTGGGGTCTCCTGCATTGCAGTTAGATTCTTTACCAACTGAGCTATGAAGGGAAGCCCTGAGCTATGCAGTAGGTTCTCATTAGTTATTTATTTTATAGATAGTATCAATTGTGTATATATGTCAAATCCCAACCTCCCAATTCATCCCTCACCCTTTAACCCATATTGGATCTATACATTTGTTCTCTATGTCTGTGTCTCTATTTCTGTTTTGCAAATAAGATCATCTATACCATTTTTCTAGATTCTACATATATGCATTAATATATGATATTTGTTTTTCTCTGACTTACTTCACTCTGTATGATGGTCTCTAGGTCCATCCATGTCTCTGCAACTGGCCCAACTTCAGTTCTTTTTATGCCAATATGCTTTTAAAATGCTATTCTTTTGTTAATGGCTACTCACCGTTCAAAATGCCTCTCTGGAGTCACCCTCTCCTGGCAGCATTTCCTGATTTACCTGGCCAGTTGGATGCCTCTTCCATGTTCTCTACAAGCTCCTCATGCATTTCTCTGCCTTAGCATATATCACATTGCATTGAAATTATCTGTCCAGCTGCCTGTCTTCCTCTCTTGAGTGTAACCTAAAACCTAAAGTCTGTCTCTGAGTCACCCTTATATCTGCAGCCCCCAGTGCAATGCATGGCATAACACTGATGCTCAGTAAATGTTTTCTGAAAGGTTGAATTCAAATTTGTAAACTTTCTGAGTAAGGCCAAAGAAAAGTGTAAAGTTGAGAAATACCTGATAAGTTGAGATGATACTGACAAGTCAGACATTTCAGGCCAAAAGGCATCAATTTTTATGATCTCTCAACAAAGGGTTGTGTCAGATGATTCCATTTGACCTCTGACTTTCCTGCCTGCTGACCTGGGAGAAGCGAAGGCAGTCTGCTGAGTGAAGCAGATGTAGGATACTGCTGAGTGCTGACTTAGCTTCATCAGGAGATGGTGGAGAACAGTGCTTGTTATTGAAGGGAATCAGTCTTCTCTTGCCTCAGGGTTGGTACTGCTGAAGGCTGAAGGCTGTGTGTTTGTATGCATGTGTACCACATGTGGGCACATGGTGGTCATGACAACAAGCAGGATGTTTTGAAGAAGCCCCAGGGTAAACAGGGAACCATCTTAATCAGCCTGATTGTGAGGCACCTGAGACCTTGATGATGAAAGGCTTTATTAATTCTAGCAGCTAATATTTTATTGATTACCCACTGTGTGCCAGGCAATATTCTAAATGTTTTGTGTTCATCAACTCATTTAATCTTCACAACAACCCCAGGAAGCAGGTCTTCATTTTAGAGACTAGGAAACCAAGGCTCACAGAATTGAAGTGATACACTCAAGATTAGTCAGTTAAGAGGTGTTAGGGGCAGGGACGATCCCGGGATCAGGGCTTAGGAGCCCAGCTCCGGGCTAACTGCCTCGACTGTCTCATCCTGCTGTCTGTCATGAGCCAGAGCCAGTGCTGCTCATCCTCTGGGAGCCAGGTCTGCAGCTGGTCACTAGGGATGACAAGGGGGCATTGATCTTTGAAGGGATGTGGGGAGTCCCACCTGGAGGGCTTTTGGGGACATGGGCAGCTGAGTTGTAATCCGAGGGAAAGTCTCAATGGGAGCATATGTAGAGCTGTGATCTGTGGGGGAAGAGCTGTAACCACTGGCCAGACAACAGGCTCCCACTGCATGCTCTAGTCCTGGTTAGAAGTTGAATTGGAGGCTGGTAGAGTGAACCCACCCTATGAGCACCCTTGCAGTGGAAGCTGCTGGGGCTGGAGGTGCCAGTGAAGTAAGTCAGCAAAGATCAAGAGGCTAAGTGCCAAGATCTGGGCTGGTAATCTACACGCATTGACTCTAATACTCCCACTGACCCTGCAAGGTGGATATTCACCCTGTTTACCGATAAGGAAACAGTCTCCGGGAGGTTAAGTAAGGAGCCCAACTTGCAGCGTTGGCCTGAGCTGAGGTTTGAATCTGGTTCTACTTGACTCCAAAGCCCACCTTTTTGACCCATAAGTCCTGCCTTTCCTGTATAGTGCCTGATTTTTTTTTCTTTTACTCTTTTCTTTTCCTCATTCTTTCCTTCTTTCTTCCCCTCCCTCTATCCCTTCATTCCAGAACTTCCTTCTGAATCATTAAAGGAGAGCTGTGGCCTGTCTACAGAGTGGGGATATTTCCCCTGGATCTGGGACAGCCTGAGAATTGGGAGAATGGTGACCCACCCCATAAAAATTCACTGCTATATTCATTTTTAATCCCTAGGTGTCTGCAGTCAGAATTCACCTCAGATTCTGTCTTTGTCATTTTTCAACTTTTTCACATGCCTGGCAAGTTGGTGTGTGAACAAAAGCTGAGTATGCAGCTCAGAGAGGGCCCAGCACTCCCTGTGGTGCTGGAAAGAGGGTTCGTGGTGCAGCTGTGGGATACGCAGCCAGCTGGGGGCTGTAAGGCTCAGTTATGGAGATCCCCTGTGAGTCAGAGAAAGCATGGAATCCTGAAGGTCAAAGGCACTCATAGCATATTGCTGAGTTGGACTGTGATGAAATCAACATTTTAGGTTCTGGAGTCATGTGCTTGTTGAATGGGGTGGAGGAGAGATTGAGAGATAGGAAGTCCTGCAGGAATGGAGACCATGTGATATGGGGCTGAAATTAGATGATGGAGTGGGGATGGGAAGTCAGGGGCAGATGGAAAAGGCATCAAGATGCTACAAAGAAGGAGTAACAGACCGTGTTTGATTGTGGGCAGTGATAGTGCCATGGGATAAGAAAAGTAAAGCATTTTAATAGAACTGGGGAAATCAGAAATGGGAGCTCATTTGGGGAGAAAAGGGTTAATTTTAAACAGTTTTTAGCATTTTTTTATTTTTAGGGAGGTATTTTGAAAAGGATTTGGTTGGAAATACCTCCATCCTTGCAGAGACCATCCTTGTCTTTCAGAAATGTCTTTCAGTAATTTGAGAAATGTGAATCTCTTACCCATCTCTTCAGGACTCCTGAAGACAGAGATAAGCCTTCTGTTTCCAGTGATCATGGGCCGGATGAAGCCAGCCTCAGGATAATAAACCAGGTAATTATCTCCATCCTTGCTATGACAATAATGGTGTCGAGGCAGGCAAAGATTCATCAGAGGCAGCTTCGTTGGCAAGCCCCAGGGAGACTCGAGATAAAGGAACTGATTGTCAGAATCTATCACTGCAGTGGTACACCAGGGGGGTGTAATGATGGCCGAGGGCCACATTGTGCCTCCAGAGTAAAGAACTGTGGTGATGAAAAGGAGAAGGACACCTACATCCTTGCATGGTACCCCACCAAGTTTGCATGGATGGTCTGGATCAGTAATTAGAAACATAGTGCAATAAATATTGAAAGAAACTTCTGTAAACATTCTAGAGGACAATGAAATTAGAAATAATAAGCAGATGGGCTTTTATTCAAGGCAAATCATGCCAGATGGACTCAGTACCTCCTTTTTTTTTTTTTTTTTTTGGATAAAAGTACAAAGTTGGTGGATGAAGGGAAAATGGTACATTTGATGTCTTATGTTTGAAGACAGTTTAAAACATTTGAGTCTTCCAAGAAGTCTGATTTGCAGAATTGGCTCAGAATGCCTGGAATAGAAGCACATACCTGACAAAAAAAAGTTAGATAAATGCTGCTAATTGGGCAATAGAAAATGCTGGAACTCTGGACTGGTAGGATAGCCTCAGGAGTGGTCTTTCAAGGGACCATTGAACTTTGGAGCCTAAAGGGACCTTAAAGATTGTCAGTTCCAACCCTCTCATTTAAGGATAAGGAAACTCAATCAAAAGGAGACTGTGGCTTCACACAACCAAGGCTAGAGCAAAGGTGACTTGACAATTAGTTCTGCAGAGTGTTAAGTCTGCTTTCTACCCAGCATCTCTCTTATCTTGGAAAGGAAATCAATATGTTCAAGTACATTCTGAAAGGATTCTAAATACAAAGATGAGATTTTTGGACCCCAAGCAAACAAATGTATATGTGTATGCTCAGTCACTCAGACATGTCTGACTCTTTGTGACCCTATGGACTGTAGTCCGCCAGGCTCCTCTGTCCATGGGAATCTGCAGGCGAGGATACTGAAGTGGGTTGCCATTTCCTCCTCCAGGGATCTTGCCAAGCCAGGGATCGAACCCAGATCTTCTGTGTCTCCTGCATTGGTAGGTGGATTCTTTACCACTAGCACCACTTGGAAAGAAAAGCCTGAGATACAAATCTGTTTTGTCAAAAGTTTTAGCTCCGTTTTAGGTTCGAAGGATTCGTTAAGAAAAGAAACCACTTGTTACACACACAATGAACAATTTCAATATTTAAGAGAGGATTATTTGACTTGATTTCAATATACAGTCTTTAAAAGAAAACAGAAACAGTAGAGAGAGATATTACATCACCAAACTGGGTTGAAACCTACATCTAGACTTGAACATCGCTGGGAAGTCCAGAGAAACAGCAATCTGGAGTCCCAAATGGAAGAGGTCCTGGTTGGTACATCCAACTTCCAGGTGAGACTTCACATTGCAGTTTTGGGGCTCCCACTTACAACCTTAGGCCATGAATGTCATCATCCGTTGCATGAAAAAAATGCAGCTCTGGTTTTTCTTTGGCTTTTACAGTGCTGTTTGTTTCACTTGTGAGTCATAAGATTTTCCAGACCCTGAAAGACTGACCAGGTCTCTGGGGCTCGAGAAATTCCAGGGCCCTCTCCCTTTCTTATCTAAAGTGCCACTTGGCTTGCTGGTAACAATTGGTGTGCTTGCAGGCTGGCAAACAGCCCAGCTAGGGTCAGAAGTTAGTCAAAGGCCTGCTTTCCTACTTCTGAAGCCTGAACAAGAGTACCTCCATTAAATTTCCCTAACAGGATCATGTCCCCCGAAGAGGGTGGGGGCCTCCAACAAAGTGGAGGTGGTAGTTGAGGAACAACTGGGAAGCTTCACTGCAGGCCACACTCCTGAGATCCTTGCGTGGTATTCAAGCCACTTTCAGTGGCGCTAAGTCCTCATTGCTGTGAAGCAACTATTGCCCAAGTGAGAGAACGACAGAAGTTGAGGCGGTTTGGTGACTTGTCCAACTAAGCTCCAACAGCAAGCTTGGAGCAGAGCTAGGATGAAAATTCACATCTTCTGATTATGGCCAGGCTCTCTCTCACCCACGTTTTGCCTTTAGTAGAATTCTGATGGAAACCCAGTCCTGCCTGACCCTGTTATTCCTCCAGAAAACTCCCTTCTTCCTCTGTCGGGTCCTTTCTCACCTTGTCTTTCTGCCCTTATACAATTCCCCAGATGCCCAGCGTAGCCTTCCTGACGTCACTCAATTCTCCCCGTTCTTCATCAGATTGTATTAGTCTCCTTTCTCGTTTCTGCCAAGTTCTGAGCTCAGCCTTCTGTCACCCTAAAAACGAATCCCCCCATTGCCTTTTCAGGTGCTGGTTTCATATCACAAGTGTGCTTCCTTGTTTAAAAAATGAAACACACAAGGACACCTAGTGTATCGTGACCTACAGGCAAGGAGCATGTCTGAGCACCATCGAGTTGACCCACTACAATATTGTAATTAGCCTCCAACTAATAAAAATAAATGGAAAAAAAAATAAAAAATAATTAAAAAAAAAGTGGAAAGCACATGAAGCTTATATAATTTGGGACTGAATTTGGTTATATAAAATAAGTCATAACTCATGTTCTAATCTATATAAGATGATTTTTAAATTCTATGCTTTGAAAATATCAACTCAGAACTATGTGCTTTTCTGCCTCTTTCTCTCCCCTATGTTTATTCAGTATATAACTTATAAATATCAGTAAAATTTCTTTAAAATCAAGTTTTTCTTGACTGTTACAGTGTATATGCTCATTGTAGCTACTTTTTAAAGAGCACTAATTTTTGAATAATTATGTATGCCCACTGTTGAAAATAGAGAAAAAATAAAAAGAAATGAAAAATCTTCCATATTCTCACTAAAAAAAAAAAAAAAGAAAGAAAGAAAAAAGAAGTAGACACTCTGTATTTGTGAAGAGGACTGTGGGCTGGGAACTTTCCTAGTTCCCCTCTCAATAGTTCTTCCTTTCTTATGCAGAATAATTTATTTCTTCTAAACCCATATCCGAGCACCCTATCTACATATTCAACAGGGGTCCTTGCGATTATAAGGATTAGTCTTTTGGTAGGTGGCAGGTTGAATGGGGAGGGGATGTTAGTAAGTAATTTTGTTCTCTTCACACATAGTTTTTATCCAGTCAGAGTGTGGAAGAGTTTTTGCAACAGATATTGTTTTGTGTGTGTGTTTGTTTGAAAGAAGAGTCGTTGTGATTAAGGAGAAAATGCAAGCCTATCTCTATTTCCTTCGACTGCTGAATAATAGCTCCTTGACCTTCACTGGTCCAGACTTTCTGCTCTGGGTGACCCATGGGGCAACACTGTTAAATACAATTCTTGAAATTTTTTTCTAAACCTTTTTTTTTTTTAATAACAATCCTCAATGCATCTGTACTATTAAGCACTCTACTTATCATATGCTATGCATTGAATATTTGTGTCTGTTCAATATTCATAGGTTGAAATCTTTATCCTCAAACTGATGGTATTCAGAGATGGGGTCCTAGTGGGTGATGAGATCATGAAGGTAGAACCCTCTTAAATGGGATTGCTGCTCTTCAATGGAAGATCCCAGAGTGATTTCCTATCCCTCTGCCATGTGGAGACATGGCCAGAAGGCAAAAGTCTATGAACCAGAAACTGGGTTCTTATCAGATACTATCGGCACCTTGATCTTGGACTTCCCCGCCTTCAGAACTGTGAGAAGTAAATTTCTGTTGTTTACAATCCATCCAATCTGTGGTATATTGTTATGGCAGCCTTAAGAGAATAAAACCCCATCCGATGACTACAGTATTTTTATTTTACTATATTTTTTCTTTTACTTACCTTCCATGCAGGGAGCACAGCAGTAAAGAAATGTGCCTTTTCCCCTTCCTCATGGAATGTGAGCTATTGGAAAGAGTAGTGTCTGGGCATCACTAGACTTGTACTTTTATCCTGAGTCTGCCACATGGGAGCCTTGGGCATGTGTCTTAACCTCTCTGTCCTGCAGCTGCTTCTGGGTCTGTTGAATTCAGTGCACTATGACCTCCCTGAAGGCAGGAAATATAGCCTATGTTTCTTTACAATGCCTGACACAACAGGAACAAATTTAGTAAACATTTGGGAATCTTACCTCTCAATGTTGCTGAAACACATCATCACACACATCCATCACTAACAAATAGCCCTCAATACAATGCCAAATACATGCCTTTCATTACTTAATCTAATCACCATGATTCTGCAAGACAGTTATTATCAGTGTTTTGCAGAGAATACAACTGAGGTAGAGAGAGATTAAGGGATTTACTTCTTTGCTTAGTTGGTAGCAAAGTTGGAATTTAAACTCAGGTCCATCTGCCTTTGTTTGACTAATCTATAGTCAGGACCTATGCTTCTCATGTAATAACAATACAGTTGCAAAGGGCTTTTGACTTTTTAAATGTAACAAGAAGCTTCTTTGCTCTAAGACACAGTAAGAAAAAGCCACAGATTCTGAAAAGGAAGACTGGCAGAGGTGGAAGGGGGGTATATCTTGTCCTTGAATGGTTTTCTCCAGGACAGTCCTTCTGAGGTTCCACCCTCCCCCAGTACTTGACCTTATTGACCTTGGCTGGTGGGCAGTTTCAGGGTTTGCCTCACTTCTGGGTTCAGATGCTCTATTTCACTCAGTTAGAGACTTTGGTGAAGTTATTGTGCCACATGTTGCATGGGCCCCGAGTGTACCCTGTGAACACGATGGGGCTTTTCTGTTTCTTTCAGGGACTCACATTCAAGCCAGGCACCTGGAAAAGTAAGCAGGCAGTTTCTCTGAAGAGGTGATCGTAGGGAGCTGCACACGCTCATGGGGGTCACATGACTCAGCCTCGGGAGCTGGGGACGCAGGCGGCAGGAAGTGGCCTCCGTGTAAGGGCCACGGGAGGAACGGTAGGCTAGCCTGGAGTAGGACAGAGGGAACAACCTAAACAAAGCCCTGGAGGACAGAGAGAGCATTTTACATTTAGAGACTAAATTTTGCATTATTTTCTTTAGATCCAGAGCCACAGTATTTCAGGAAAAATCCTCCCGCACCCCCACACCATGCCCCGGTTTCATTCAACAATGTCACTGTACTTGTGTTCTGGCTCTGAGATCAGACAAACCATCTCCTTCCCCAGTTCCTTGTGGTGATGTTTGCTGGGGTCCATGCCTCTCAGGACTCCAGGAAAAGGTCATTTTAGTAAGTGAGGGGCTCAATGCCACAGCTGCTTCATATAAAATTCAGCCTCAAAACAAGTAATACTACATCTGAGAGCTGTCAGTGTATTTATCGGGCATATATTTTTTGCTCAGTGACAAGTGGGTGCTTAGAAGCAGGTTATGACACTCAGTTTACATGGCTTTTTGTTTTTGTTTGTTTGTTTGTTTGTTTTTGGTATATAAAATGCATGTAGAACATCCCAAGTAGCTTTTACTCAATTATCTTGTTTCTTCTTAACCTTCCCGTGGCTAATAGGAAGCAAATCCTATTATTTCTCTTCAATCTTTCTTTGCAATCCTTAGTTGAAAGTTTGTCTTCTTTTTTCTCTTTGGTACTTCTTTGATAGGTTTGATTAATGTCTTTAAAAAAGAAAAGATTAGTTTTTCTTACCTCATAATTAGCATTACTGCAGAGGGAGCCAGAAGCTGGGGCTGGTGGAAGAAAGCCTGGGACCGTGGCTTCATCTTCTGTGTGTGACCCCCACCTCCACGGGGAGCCACAGCAATGGGGCAGCCTCGCTTGTGTTGTTTTCAAGTCTCCCTCTTACTATTTTTGCAGTTAAAGATAGAAATCCCTCTGTTTTCTCATGTGCTAGGAGAGGTCTCTCCTAACATCCTGCCTATTGTCCCCAAAGCAAATATACTCACAATGCGAAATATTGCATGTACAACTTTTTCTGGTTTTCTTTTTTTTCTCCCCCCAGGTTTTGCAAAGTAACACTGAAACCAACTTCTGCAGCGGAGTGAATCTGCCCAGGGGATATTTTTTGCCCTGAATAACAATAACTCCCCTAAGAGTGGAAGTTTCTTTTTTGCAGAGCTATATTATTGTTATTTGGGACTGATTGACTGACTGTCAGTCTTTTCTGCCAGAAACAGAAATGCTAATCAAGGCTTCAGCATGATGGGACTGGGGACTCACATGTCTCTACATCGCTCAGACCCACGTGGACAATGGTTTTGCTAAATCTCATTTTTGTAGGTCTTTCTGGAGATGGGGCCTATAAGAAACTCTGGCAATCTAGAGAATGTTGTTCTAACTGAGCTCATTGTAGTACATTTTTCACCAAATTACATTAGCATACAAAACTTGGATTATTGATTTCTTCTTTACTTGTGGTTTCTGGGCAGAAGTCCAGTTTATAGAAACAAAGAGAACATGCACACATGAGTTGAGATCCATCTATTTGTTTATTTGTTCTTTATTTTAGAAACCTGGGACATGATTCAGAGAGGTGGTATGACTTTGTACTCTGATTTTCTCTACCTAACACCTCCATTAGACTGTTCTCAAACCTTCCATGGCACAGGCTTTATACTTTGAATCCAAACTGGAGAGGGAGGAGCAGATAGCGAACCATTTGCCAGGGACCACAGAACACCCGCCTTTTGTTAAATACCTACCGGATGTCAGGCAGTGATGACCCTGTACTTACAAGATCTCTTCTGGGATATATCCTCATTTTACAGATAAAGAAATTCAAGCTTACTGAGGCTAAGTGACTTATTTCAGGTCACCTAGAAGCAAGTGCAAGATTAGTGACTATTCACTTTAGAAAACAGTCTGGCAGTTCCTCAAAAGGTTAAACATAGAGTTACTGTGTGTGTGTGCTCAGTCATGCCCAACTCTTTGCAACCCTTTGGACTGTAGCCCACCAGGTTCCTCTGTCCATGAAATTTTCCAGGCAAGAATACTGGAGCAGGTTGCCATTTTCCTTCTCCAAGGACAGAGTTAACATATGACCCAGCAATTTCAGTTTTAAGTATGTCCCTAAGAGAAGTAAAAACCTATGTCCACACAAAAACTTATACACCAATGTTCATAGCGGCATTATTTAAAACAGCCAAAAAGTAGAAACAACCCAAATATTCTTCAACTAGTGAATGAATAAATAAAATGTGGTTCATTTGTATAATGGAATATTATTTGACCATAAGAAGAAATGAAGCTTTGCTATAGGCTGAGCCTGGATGAACCTTAAAAACATTTCGTTAAGTAAAAGAAGTCAGTCATGAAGGAACATACATTGCATGACTCTGTTTATACAACATGTCCCGAATGTAGAGAAAATAGATTAGTGGTTGCCAGTGGCTGTAGGGAGAGAGCTTGGGGGCAATGGAGAGTGACTTATAATGGTTCCAGAGTTTCAGTTTTGGGTGATGAAAAAAAAAAATCCCCCGGAATGGATTCTGTTTGCCTCTCAATTGCTTCTAAATTCTAAATTGGCTTTAAAATTGATTGTGATGATAGTTGTACAGCTCTGTGAATATACTAAAAACCACTGAATTGTACACTTTAAATGGGTGAATGGATGTGAATAATATCTAAATAAAGTTATAAAAAATCAGTGGCTACTGCCCACGATGCTTATAGGGAGAGATGATACCACTCAGACTGGGGAGTAATGTGAGATGTTTCTACTAACAGAGACCAAGGTACCAAACAGCAAGCAGCAACATCTAGCTTTTAAAATATTTACTAAGTACCCGGCACTGTACTCAGCACCTTATATATGATATCTAATTTCATCATCACGCTAACCCCATGAACTCTATGTTACTTTTACTCATTTTCTAGGAGGAAATTGAGATTTAGACTCAGTAATTTTCTCAAGATTGCCTATCTATTAAGTACTATAGCTGCCTCTTCTAAATAAAGACCTTGGAAACAACTGTGTTGATTCATCCAACTTCCAGCATGGTACAGTAGTGGCTAAGAGAGGAGGATCTGCAGCTGGATGACCTGGAGTGTGACCCAGCCTCTGCCTCCTAGGTCCTGTGTACATGTGAGCAAGTTGCTTAAAGTCTGTATTCCAGTTTTTCCTCTATATAATGGGATAGTAAAAGTATTAATCACATAAGGTTGGAGATTAAATGAGATAGTATATGGGAAGCATCTAGGACAGTGCCTGGCACAGAGTAAGTGCTCAATACATGTGAACTATTATTATATACAGCCACTGGGGGATGGGAAGACAGGGATGAACAAGTCGAAGCTTTTGGCTCAGCTACAGTCTAGTGGGGAAGGCAAGTTCAGACAACTGAAATCGGGGATGACGGTGGAGCAGGCGGGAGGCAGAGCAGAAGCACAGAGGCAGAGTGACTAATGATGCACAAGGGCCACACTCGCTTGTGGTCCTAGACCTTCGGTCTTCTAGGCTCTGGCATGAGAGTGTTAATTGCAGCAGGATTTTCCTCCCTTGCCCTCAAGGTTTCAGGCATTCATCAGAATCTGGTTGGGGAGTTTCATGATTTTGCTTTTCCTGATAGCTTGGTAAAAACATAACACTAGAAAGGACAGAGCAGAGAGAGTAGGAAAGGTCTTTTATTTGGGCTTCTTGAATATTTACCATTAGATCCTTAGGCTATTATAACAGAAATTTGATCCAGAGATGAAGAGTCTTGAAAGGGGAGTCCGTGAGGTTTGCTTATTCTCGATGTGGGTGTTTCCTCCTATTCCAATTACATAAACCTGAGGAATATGTTGGAGGTTAGCTATTCATTGAGAAGCATGACCTAAGATTTATAAGTAAATAAGCCTATATATATGTTACTTCTAAAAGTTGAAAGGGAGAGGGAGAATGAATTCAAAACAGGAAATTAGGTTTCCAAGTATGAAGGGGAAGAAGGGAGAACCAAGAATATGGAGAAACTGTTTGATGAGTATGCTTCTCTTTTATTTCCTTGCAAGGCGTAGTAGGCCTTCAACAAATATTTGTCCAATCTGAATAAATAGATGGTTTATATTCTAGTTCATACATTGGGGACGACCTCTATGACCTCCAGATTCCAGATTTAAGTTTACTCTCTGAGAAGTTATTCAGAAAATCAAGTGATAAGTGAAACCACCTTTGTCAGGCATTCTCTTGGCTCAGTTGTCCATTCTTGCAAAGATGGCCCTGGAGGGCCTGGAGGCCAATCTGGTAACCCATCCTGGCTGCACCTTAGAATCACCTGAGGAGCTTTTGAAACATGTTGGTTGCTGGGTTGGGCCTCAACCCAGAACAATCAAATCAGACTCCCTGGGGGAGGAGCCTGGGTGTTGGCAATTATCTTTTCAAATCTTCCCCAGGTGATTTTCATAGAATTCAGGGGTGAAAAGGTGGGGCTAAGGCGTCTGTAGATGGGAAGGGCGGGTACTACCTGCCAGAAACCTTGGTGTGTGGTTGACCAGAGGCGTAAAACCACAAGTCTATCCTGAAGGAGTGTGGACGTGTCCGTCACCCTTCAGGTTGCCAGGGTTATTTTCCAGAGACCTCTCTAAGCTTGGAGTGAAGCTTGCCCACCCAGGGGCACAGAGGAAGCTGGAAGCTTGGCTGCAGAGAGGAGGTAAGCTATGGTATCTGGAACAGGCACTGAACTTTCAGCAGCTTCAGTGCTGTAATTTTGAGATTTCCTATAACCTGAGACTAGGTACCAAGGGGAGGGTGTGTGAGAGAGGATGGGCCATCCCAGGGGTGGTCTCCTTGCAAGCGCTGAGCTGGGTCAGCGGAAGGCTCCACACCTCCTGCGCGGGCGGCAGGTCCTCTGAGACTCGGCCCTCTGGGACTCTCCTGTCATTCTCCAACAAGCCCATTAAGATGATCAAAGAGTCACTGGAGAGTTCTGGGGGCCTCTGGAGGGTTTGGAGAGTGTGTCTGTGACCACGGGTGCATATACGTCTTGCCCTGAACTGAACTGCCGAGGGACGGTCCACTTGTACTTTCAATAGGACCAGACTCTCAGTTAGCCAAATAGCTCTGAGTGCTCCCTAGTTAAAAGAAGCATCCTAGAAAAGATACCTGGTTTCTAGAGGCAGCGTGGCTCCTTCAGGGTCTAAGCTTTCCTTCAGCAAAGGATGTTATTGGGTCCTGTGTGGGTTTGGGGATATCAGGGAAAATGTAGGCTCCAGGAAGGAAAATTTTTATTGTTCTTGAATCTGGAGAATTAGATTATCAATGTCAACCCTTCTCCAAAATGCATTTGCACTCACATTGCTCTCTGCTGCCTTCTCCAGAATCTCTCTGCAGCCCACTTCCACTCACCACATCCCCTTCGTCTCTCTCTTCCTTCTCCCTCCCAAAGATTCCATCTCAACTGTTCCCGCTTGATAGACTCTCCCACAAAGGTGCATTTATTACTGACCGGCTTCTTTATCTTGGATAGTATGTCACAAGTAGTCAAGACTATTGCTCTTGAAGGCAGTTTCACAGATTTAAGATGAAGAAACAGTATCCATATAGTTCCAGAGTCAAGGAAGTGTGATAGCCAGCCAGTAAAAAGAAAAAAATAAGACTGTTGTAGAGTGGAATTTTACTCACTAGAGCTGGCTTGGACTTTAGATGTGAAACATTTGATTTATAGTTTCTATTTCACGCTGATAGAAAACTCTGCTTACCCTTATTGGAAGGTCGAATGTGTTGGGTTCTCTAGCTAAAGTAGTTGTTAAAGTTTATTTCACATTCAAGGAAAGGGGTGCTTGTTATTCACCACACTCCTATTTTAATTATGATTTTCCTGGCACCATTTTTAACAAGAGGAACTGAAGGCCTGCAAGGAGTGATTTCCCCTAATCAGTTCATAAGCCTGGTTTTCCCCCTCCAAGGAGCTGCTCCAGCTCCAGATGAAACGCGATGGAGGATTGAGCAATTACCTGGTGGATTTGAACAGTGTGGAGTCAGCAGTCAATTAGAATAGTTCAATTATGAAAATCCTTTTCTCTCCCATCTTCTTTGCTCTACAGAATGATCATCTTAACTCCTGTTGCTCCACCTGCCCTGACTTGCAACTCCTTCTCATTCTCCTCTCTACTTGAGTCTTGCCCCCCTCCCCCCCACCAGCCTAGCCTTATCTTCCATGCCTGCTGGGAGAGGGAGGCCTCGTGTTTGTCCTTCCCCAGGTGAGTGGACTCAGAATTGAGCCGCCCTTGAATTCTCATGACATTTCCTGGGTGTGAGCCCACATCCCCTTTGGCCTCTGGCAGTGTGCAGCAGGCTTCTAGAACGTTCCTTGTCTGAGACTCTCTCTGCACACCCTGTGGGTTCCATGGACTTTTTCATCGATGCTGGTGCTGCCCGTTCTTGCCGGCTTCCCTCGTGAGGGACAGAGGCCTATTC